ATGATTCCTTGGCCTAGAAAATTCCCCCTCAATTGTCTGGGATCATGAGCCCACCCTGCACAGTGTCAGCCCAGCAGACTCTGGGCCTTTCCCAGATGTCTACCAGCCTTGGCCTTTGGGGTCCAGAGCTGCCTTCGGGGAGGGGACAGGCTTGCCAGCCCCCTCCTTTTTCCTGCCTGTGGAGTCTGACCCCTTCTAGGAACCTATACAACCAAGGCCCCCCCAAAGGTCCTGGACTGCCCCCTCCTCTTCCTGCGCCCCAGTAACTCCCGCTTCTTTACCTCTCCCCTCAGAGCGGGACCTGGCCCTTCATCTCTGCTTCACCCGTGGGGGAGCAGCTCCTACTGCGAGCGCTTTGTGGAATGAACCGCAGTGTCACTCAGGACTAGAACTGAAAGGAAAACGTTCCCTTTCTGGCATCAGGAGACACCTAAGGCCACGCAGCAAATGCTCCGCTCCCTCAGGCTTTCTCACGTCCACACGCTTCTGCAGTTAATACCTTCAAACCCCCAGATGTTTGCCTTTTTGTTAAGTGAAGGTGCCCTGCAGGGAACACATGGGTGTGTGCGCGTGTGTTGAATCCTATCATGAATGCCGCAGTTTATCCACAGCCCCTGCGGTGGGAGTATCTCCTCCCCATTCTCTCCCAGAACAGACAAGATGGAGGGGCTCCCCCTGAGCCTGGGTTGGGGAAGGGGGTGGAAGGCAGGGCCCAGTCCCTCACAGAAATGACTCAAATGTCCAGGCTGCCCAGGAGATGGGCAGAGCTGTTCTTCCTGGTGCACCCGGAGGGAGGCACAGTTTAGTAAGAAAGTGAGGTATTCAGCATCTCCCCACAATTTGCTGGCATTTCATTCAACTTCTAAGCTTCAACGGCCTTGAGAAAACCAAACAAGAAAAGGGGCAAACCCGAGCCCCCACCTCATGCTGTAGGTGTGGGTGCAAGGAATGGCTGTGAGCAAGCCCCCCCCCTCCCCCACTAAGTCGTTAAGGGATGGGTTTATTGAGCTCCTGCTCTGTGTTGTCATAGGAGTCATTCCTGTAATAGCCACTTCCAATGTGCTACTAGTTGACGTGCATGCACCTTTCCTTTGTCACAGCAACCTTAGGACATAGCTGCCATCACCATCCTCACCTGCAGATGAGGGCACAGAGAGGCTGAGCTACTTGCCCAGGCTCACGTAGCTAGTCAGGATTGACCCAGGTATGGAGATCAGATAAAGGACGATAAGACAATGACCAACCACCCTGTGCTTGAGCTCCAAAAACAGAGAGGGAACACATAACCCAGCAGGTGCTGGGGTACATGTCCTGACTTCAGGAGGTCTTTGGGAATCAGGTAAAGAGGGGAAAGGTGCTGGGGGGGGGGGGCCTTGGTCACATACAAAGGTGGAATGGCACATACAAAGAGGTGGGGGGACGCTTGGCCTGTGCAGGAAACTAGCTGGTTTGCCAAGGCACACAAGGTACCCGGGGAATGCAGGGCAGAGGCCTCAGAGATTTGAAAGTATTGAATTCAATCAGTCATCTTTAAGTAATTGTTTTAAAATATGTTTTTATTGATTGCAGAGAGAGGAGAGATAGAAACATCAATGATGAGAGAGAATTATTGATCAGCTGCCTCTTGCACACCCCCTACTGGGGATCGAGACCTCAACCCCGGGCATATACCCTGACTGGGAATCGAACTGTGACTTCCTGGTTTATGGGTTGGTGCTCAACCACTGAGCCACACTGGCCGGTCTAAATCATTTTTAAATTTTAGTTTGAAAGCAGTGACATGGAGCCCCCAAGACACTGTAAGAAGAACAGCTCCTTGGGGCAGAAATCAGGAGTTCCTGGTTGACAGCAGAGCTGGCTCAGGGCCAGCACGGGGTCAGGGCTCAACAGACAATGACTGATGGTCACACTGATGGTCACACTCACCTATTCCCTGCTGCTTCAAAACGTGCCGACCTTAGGACCACGTCAGTAAGTTGAGACACGATGAAATGGGATGTTATTAGTGTTCAGTTGGCGATAGTTGAGTCTCCAGCCTCCTAGACTGGGACTCATGTAACTCATTGCAGAGCCCCCTCGCTCCCACTATTCCAGGTTCCTGACCTAGAAATAAATCTGAGTCCAGCTGTCAGATTCCATCAGAAGTCCCCTCCCCACGGGACCCCAACCTCTGTAGGAAACACAAGCCCGTCAAGTTTCCATGGATGGATATGTACCCAAGTCATCTTCAATGCCATGGGAATCCAGACTCTCAAAAAAAAGTGGCCCCAGCCCCTTAGAGCTCACCTTCCTGGCATTGAACTTGAGAACTTTACGGAGCAGCAGAGAAGACACTGAAGTTCACAAACCCTTCACTCTCCTTGAGGTCCCATAGGCCAGCTCATTCAACAAGGTCACCAGACAAACCTGTCCTTTTCTGCATTCTTTGCTGGCGGTCCCTCCTTATCTGAGCTCACTGCATCACTTGAGTTCAGCAACCACGAGGGGTTCACCCCTGGCCACATTGGCGGAGAACCTACACTGTGTCAAGTGCCGTGCTGGGAGCTGGGGTTGTAGTGACCAGGTAGTAAACTGCCCTCATGAGCTCACATCTCCATTCCCACATCCCTGAAGTCTCCCCCTGAGCTACCTCAGAGGGGAAAGACAGCCCTGCTGCCTTGCTGCCCACAGCGGCATCTGAGGAAGTGGGGCAGGGGAGCGTTGTGAATGGCCAGCCCCAGGAGAGGGCCACCTGAGCACCCTCTTCTCGCAGCCCTGCCCTTTCGGCAGACACACCACACATGGGTGTCCTCCTCGTCGGAGTGGTCACTAGCCGAGACCCTCACCAGCCTTTCTCCGCTCCCTCCTTGCCCTGCCCACCACGAAATTGTGCTGGAACCCAACTGTACCCTCAAAAGGGCAGGGTTCATTCCAGTTGGGCCCATCATTGTGTCCAGTGGTGCGTTGGTAAATGTTTAACAATCAGCGTGTTGAGAAAAAGGAAAGCCCTGATTCACAACGTTTGACAATTTCCAGGGTGTAAATATTCCTGCCGTGGCCGATTTCAAGCTGCCAACATGCATGGCTGGACGTGGAGTTGGAAAGAGATGGGCCCCATGAGAGAGTATTTCCGCCCTACAGACAGCAGACCGGGGGACAGCGGACAGAGCGGGAGGGCCAGATTCAGCTCCTGGCCCGCGGAGCCTGAAACACTTACTCTCTGGCCCTTGTACAGAAAAAGCTTGGCGACCCCTGCAACAGACATAAATAACCTCCAGAACAGAGATACTAGTAAAACATAGAAGAATAATTAGGAAGTGATGCGTTTTATTACCTTTTAAAATATATAATTTATTTCGTGGTAACTGTAATTTATTCTTGTTTAATGGCTCTTTGACAACCGGCTTGCAAGCTTCCTGAAGAAGGAACAGTCGGCTCTCATGAGCCAGTAGAGATGAGTTAGCTCCAGCATGCCACTACCTGTTTCCCTGCGCCGGGCCCCGAGTCCGTGCACAGGGGCTATCTGCTGAATGGTTGGAAATCTAACTGCACTGCCAAGGGTCTAAGCACTAGGCAACATTGCCCTGACCCTTCAGTCTTTCATTCCGTTCCCTCAAACACCTCTTAGCACCTGCTGAGTGCCAGGGACTTTGTTGAGTGCTACAGATCCAGTTGACACAACATCTCCTCTTGGAGCTCAGAGTTGAGTGGGGGGAACCAGACACCCCCCCCCCCGCAAAAATCACCACCCTCCCTCCCCCCCCCCCACAAAAAAAAGTATGCCAAGAAGAAAACAGCCTCTTCCTTTTTCCAACTGTGTGTGTCTTCGGGTTGGTTTCCTACAAAGTGGGGTCCTAGCAGTACCTTTTTCCAGAGCTGAAGAAGTGAAGTGAGGTCAGCGATGCCAAGCCCACAGCCTGGCCCAGAGTGAGCACTTGGAATAAGCTTCGGCTGTTTCACTTCACCTCCGTCATTTTAGAACCCATGTTTCTGCGGCCTTGGATATGGATCCTCCAGCCCGTCCATGTCTCTGGCCTTTCCCATTTGCCCAGCAGCTGGAGTGCAGACTCTCCTGATCAACATCTCGGCAGGGCTTCCAACCTTCATTGGCACCAGATCGTTCTTGGTGGCAGGCGGCGGTCCTGAGCATTGGAGGCCATTCATCCCGGCCTCTGCCCACAGATACGAGCGTCATCCCCAATTTGTGACAACCAAACGGTCCCAGACTTTGCCACGAGTCACCTGGGATCCCAAGCCGCTGCTGGTTAGAAACCGGGGTTGGAAGGAGGATGTTTCCCCCGCCCTCCGTGGGCACAGGCAGCTCCCCAGCCACCCTGTGGGCTGCAGTCTGGGGAGATTATATTGCTCACACTCATGCAACAGCACATTCCTCCTCAGACGCCACTTCTGGGGGTGCAGCACACTCAACGCCGGCTTTATCAGACTGTCCAGGAACACAGGATGGGATAAGGTACAACCTCTTTTAAGTCCTGTTTTTGGAGCCTATTCAACAACACGAGGCCACACTTGTTATAAAATGCCAAGCACCAAAAGCAGGCAACAACATTGTTTGTTCTCACGTGGTCCCTTTTCATAGCTACTCATGGGGCTGTTGCTTTTGGGGAACTCTCTGGAAGCGCCGTCTGAAAACTCCGTCTGGAAATTACATCAGCTAGGAGATCACTCCCGAACCTCATGTTTACCAGGCATGAGACACCACCATAATGGAACACACACGCTGTACTGATGGCATCTAATGTGCTGATCACCTCATAAAATGTGCTACTCTTCCGGTATAAGGAGAGGAGTTGTGTTTTTATCCTAAAGTTGATGAACATCTTCCTCTTCTGAGCTGAGGTGAAGTCAGTGCATTTCCTAGGCTCATCGGCAGGGAGGGGAGAGGGGAGGGGGCCCTATTCTATTCATCAGCCTGCGATGCCGGTAGCTGAGAGGTCACTGTGCCGCTCACCCACCCGCGCTGGTTTCAGGGGGCAGAAGAAGAGGAACATGAAGTACCATCCTCTCCCCCTTTTCTGTCTCATTTTCACCAAATGATGAAGTCTGAGGTTAATTTTTTTTAAGTAAAGGGTGTCCCAAAATTCACGCAAGAAGTAATTTTGGTAGAAAACACAGGTTTATAATAAAAAACTGTAAATTTTTTATTGATTCATAAAGTATACAGTATAGGGTTATGTATGGAATAGCATATTGGGTAAATGGCCTCCATGGCTTTGCTGGCACATACGCACTCTTTTGTTGAAATTTTCCATGACCGTTTTTGCATAAATGTGGCTGAATTTCGATGAGGCTCATTTTTATCTTGATGGCTTGGTTAATCGACAAAATTGTCACATTTGGGTTTCAGAAAATCCACGAGTGATTGTTGAGAAACAAACGCATCCACAACGTGTCACTGTTTGGTGCGGAGTTTGGGCTGGAGGCATCATCGGACCATTCTTCTTTGAAAATGCAGCTGTTCAGGCAATAACAGTTAATGGTGCTCGCTATCCCGACATGATAATCCAATTTACCTGGTATGCTATTCCATACATAACCCTATACTGTATACTTTATGAATCAATAAAAAATTTACAATTTTTAATTATAAACCTGTGTTTTCTATCAAAATTACTTCTTGCGTGAATTTTGGGACACCCTTTATTACAAAGAATTGGTAGTTTATCTGGAACTAATATTTCTTACACACAGTTCATTAAGTCACATACATGCACCAAAACCTGAATAGCGGTTAGATCTGGGTAACCAAGATCAAGGTAACCAAGGCAAGAGCGAGGGTTTGTCTATGATCCCACAGCAGAAGAGTGGAATTACAGGTCATTTTCCCCACCCACCCCCCACTTTTAAGCCAATGTTATTGAAGTATAATTTACATGAAGTCAAGTGTGCCCATTTCCAAAGAACAGGCTGACAAGTGTTGATGAACGTATAGCCCCATGTAATCGCCACTGTAATCAGGATATTGGTATAGAACATCCCCAAGCCCAGTAGTTTCTTCCGGACCCAGCACCCCCTGATCTGCTGCTGTCACTATAGATGGTTCTTACTCCTCCTTGAACTTCATACAAATAGAATCAAATGTTGGGTACTTTTGCCCTGGCCCAATGGCTCAGTTAGCTGGAGTAACATCCCATACACCAAAAAGGTTGCAGGTTCAATTCCCCGTCAGGGCCTATACCTAGGTTGCAGGTTCCATCTGGGAGGCAACTAGTCAATGTTTTTCTCCACCATCACCCCCTCGCTCCCCACCCCCCTCTTCCCCCACCCTCTTCCTATCTCTAAAATCAGTAAACATATCCTCGGGTAAGGATTAAAAAAAAAAGTTGTGTACTTTTGGGGATCTGAGTTCTTTGACTGCACATAACAGTTTTCAAGATGTATCGGTGTGGGTGCTGACTAATACATCCAACTTGGGTGTAACCCTGTTTGGGTACATTTGGTGTTCTTTTTCATGCCACCCCCAAAGTTTCTACAATGAGCATGTATTGATTTGTTTTAATTTTTTTAAAAAAGATCAATGCCATTCATTGTTCAAAAATTCACAGGGACTTAATGAAGAGCCCAAATGCCAAGCTGCTGCCGACTCGTGGGAATGAAGCCTGGCACAGCCACACGGAGGACTGAAGGCCATGGATCACATTTAAAAAAATAAAAACCACTGTGTTTTTCAGATTAATTGCATCTCTCTCCCACACCAGCCTTTGCAGTGAGCTGCTCAAATTGACCAATTTAAGTGTGACCTCCTTTCTTCTCCTCCATCCACTCTGAGTCAGTTGCTAAGAAGCAATGAAAGTAAGTGTGTGTGGGGTTGGGGGGATGTGTTACATGTGTGGGGAACATGAAGCTCTCCCGAAACTGACCCTCACCTCCCTTTGCATCTGCCACTTCAGACAACCTTCGGATGGGCAAGGTGATGAATGGCCTCACCCCATTTCACAGATTGGGAAACTGAGGCAAAATCAAGAGTTTGTCTAAGATCTCACAACAAGAGAGTGGGAAGATGCTACCCAGCAGCCCCAGGTAGGATGTCAAAGAGCTTGAAGGCGCAAACTTCAGATTTAGATCCCAGCTGTCCACCTTCCTTAGCTGGGTCACGCTCCCTAAATCACTTAACCTCTCTGAACCTCAGTCTCTTCATCGGAGAAGCAGAGATCCAATCGTGATATTCCCAGTGGCGCTAATGAGATAATGCATGGAAAGTGCTCAGAACAGGGCCTAGGAAGAAGTCGGTGCTCAATGAGTGGTAGGAAAAAATGGTTTCTCAACTCCTGGTCTCTTCTTTCTTCAATCTCAGCACAAAACAAACCAACTGCCGCCTGCCTAAGCTTACGGGACAGGAGTGGACATTACCCTGTAACTCCAGGAAAATCAGTCTCACAGATGCAGAGAAATGAGAAGGCAGGCCCCAGCATCCAGGTGTTGGCCAAGACACCTTGGTTGCAACAGAAACCAATGAGAGTCGCTTCAAAAAAGAGTGGGGCTAGGTTCTAAGGAGGCACGGTTACCTCGCCAGCGCTCCAAGGGCATCGAGGCATCCAGGGGTCAGAAAGGGCCAGAAACCAGGGATCCAGGGGCCTTCTCTCTGCTTCATGTGTCTGCCTCTCTCTGCATCATCCCTCCCCACACCCTGGCTTTCTCTGTGATGTCACTTCAGCACGACAGAGGTGGACGTTTGAGAGACCAGCCGGGATCAAACTAGGCGATATTTGGCCCAGTTCCAAGGGAAGAACTTGGTTGGCTCAGCTTGGGGCAGATGCCCAACCCAGCCACTTTCCAAGCCAAGTTATACAAATATGGCAACCATTCCCTAGAGGTGAGAAGGACAGTCCAGGGGGGTCATTGTGAGGGGCAGGCCTCCCAGGAAATGTCTTCTTACAAATAATAACCACTTCTTTCCTTGTGTTCCCCAACCTTGTGCATTTCTTTATTAATAAGAAGAGCCAATGTCCACAAAGGGCTTACTGTGTGCCAGTTACTGTGTGAGCACTTTGCATATGTTAACGCCTTTAAATTAATCCTCACAAAATCGCTATGACTTTATTCTGTCCGTTGTACAGATGAGAAAACTGGGGTGTAGAGAGGTTATACAATTTGCCTAGGATCCCACTTGAACTCAGCCAGTCTGGCACCTGATCTACTCTCTTAGCCACCAGGCTGTGTTGCTTTATTTTAGCCCCAATCATGCATTTTTAAAAAATATTTTAAATTGATTTTTAGAGAGAGATAACAGAGAGGGAAAGAGAGAGAAACATCGATGTGAGAGAGAAACATCTGCCTCTTTCAGATGCCCTACCGGGGATTGAGCCCACAACCGGGCACGTGCCCTGACCAGAAAGGAAACCAGCAACCTTTCAGAGCACAGGACAACGCCCAACCAACTGAGCCACACTGGCCAGGGCCCGGTCATGCATTTTGTATTTCCTGTTAGCTCATGTCTCTCAAAATGGGGGAAAAAAAAAGATGAGGAAGGGGAAGAATGTGATAGCTGACATTTCACAACAGCATTTAACAGCTCACAGTGGGAAACGCTGGAACTCTGCTGGCTGACCTCACTGTTCCATTTTGAACTGGAGTTCAGGGAGCAGGCGTGGTAGCGAGCTAGTCCCCTGTGACCCTCCCTGGGCCTGGGACCACCTGGGGCAGACCTGGAGCCTCTTTGCCTCTTACCCTGCACCTGTACACAGCAGGCACTCAATAAGGTTTGGTGTTGCTGAGAAAATGTGTTCCTCGCTTTGTT